TATTATTATCGTTTTATGATTTGCTTCGTAATTTATTTGTATGCTATAGGTCTACTTATATTGACATTGGTGGACACGGTTGGATAAATATTCAAAAACATGATCAATGTGGTTTAATAGTAAAGAGGAGATTATAGAATTTTGAAATTTTAAGTTTTAAGTTTTATATGTGTGAATTTGATTATTTAATTATATTTAATTTATTAATTAATTATTTAATAATTACACTTTAATTATAATATACTAATTATTTAATTAATTATATGAATGTAATAATTATCATTGTAACTTAAAAAAACATGAAATTAAAAAGAAATTGAGACAAAATTCATGCAAATTAATGCAACTATCAACTCAGCATATCACGTGCTCACAGCTTTCAAAACATCCTATTGCTTTTCTGTTTTGGGTCTGGTGGGCCGAAGGTGTGTGGGTTGGGGTGTCTATTCATCCTTTTCTTTTACCTTCACAAGAAAAAGAATTATGGTCATGATGCTTAAAAGATGCAAATATGACGTGAATTTGAATTTACTTCAGTTAGTTTATAAAGTTATTAGGTAATATTTAGTAAGTATGAGATTTCAATTTAGCATGCTTTTAATCTTTAAGTTGTAATTTCTTTTGTTAAAAAAAAATGCAAACATGAGATAGGATATTTTTAATTGCAATGAGTTAAAAACTTAGAATCATTTATTGTTCATTGATTTGGTAATTGGTATTTTGACACTATGTTTCTCTAATATATTAAAATTTGGTTAAAGGGTAAAAAAATTTTCTAAACTAAAATTCAATAATCATTTAAGTTTGATCTTATTTTTAATCAATTAAATCTTTAAACATTTATTTTCACTAATTGAGTTCTAATTAAACTAAAAATGATTAACTGCTTTTATGCAATTAAGAGTTTAATTTGATAAAAATAGATGTTTAAATATCCAATTAAGTGAATATAAATATTTAAGGATTCAACTAATTCAGAATAAAAGATTCAGAACTTGATTAATTGTAATAAAATATCAAATACTTAAATGATTATTGAATTTTTATTTGAGATTTTTTTACCATTTTACCTCAAATTTTCCATCAGATACTTCTTTAAAGAATACCAGGGTAACTACGTTTACTTTTTATATTTTTCTAAACAAACAAGGGTGAGATAACAAAAGAAAGGGCCAAATCACACTTGAAAGGAAAGAAGGGAAAGCAATAGTTGTAGGCTAGCTAGGAAAAATAAAAATGTGAAATGGGACCTTATTGTTGTGTTAAGAAGGGGAAGGTAAGGGCCACTCTATAAGCTGTTTTCTTTCCCTATTCAGAAAAGGGTTGGGGGGGGGGGGGGGGGGGGGGGGGGGGGTTGGGAAGGGGAGACCAAAATGTATGGTGCAGGGGGCCAGAGTGATTGAATTGCAATGAGCCAAGGTCAAGGCCATGACAATCGTAAATGACAAAAGGTCCATTTGTTCCTAAGTATCGAGGGGACCTTTGAGTCAGTCTAGGGAAAATTGTGCCAAACAAAGAACCCTAAAATAGCAAACAACTGGAATAATTTGTAGTCCATCTTATTTGCGTTAATGGAAACCAAGTTCCAATTATCGCAGCTCCGGCCACCTGATGACGCCACCACTGCATAGACAGATTCTATAACAAAACAACTCGTGCATTTCCTGGTGTACTCTTGTTTTTGGTTAGTATAATTCATTAACAATTCAATAGATGCTTAATGTCTTTTAATTTAAAAATATTCTATATTAATTTTGCGGAAACTCAATTCAACTACCATACTTAATAATAAAAAAATGTACACAGAGCTCACCCTCGAGATATGGAACAGTGTTAAAAATTATATATATATATATATATATATATATATATATATATACTAATACATGAATTATGATTACATAACTTGCATGTGAATATATATTTTTTAAATATGTATTATTAATTTATTTTTAGAAAATAATTATAAAATATAAATAAATAAACTTTTAATTAATAAATAATTTTAGCAATAGAATTGCACAATTAAATGTTATAAAACTTGTGAAATTAAGATATTTTATATTAAAAGAAAATCTTAATCACAAAGTGAAAATTTTCATTAAAATATGAAATATGTATAAATATGTTCGATTATATTAATATAAAACAGTGTTAATTAAAAGACATATAAACTAATTTCAGTAAATTTATTTAGTTTATTTTAAACTCAAAACCTCTCTTAGCTTCGAAACTGATAAATCATATTATAAAGCAAAAAGCAAAGCATAAATTTTAAATCATATTATAAAGCAAAACGCAAAGCATAAATTTTAAATCATATTATAAAGCAAAACGCAAAGCATAAATTTTACTTGAGAAATTTATCATGTATAGTGTATAAATTAGTCGAAGAACCTCTTGCTTGCCAAATAAAAGAAACAGAGCATGTATCTTATTTCCAAGCCCAAACTGATTAAAAATATTAAAAAGAAAAATTTTACTTAATTAAATGAAAGAAATAGAGTGTATATTTCATTTTCAAGCGCAAATTGATTATAAAAAGGAGAGATATGATATTAAACTAAAGCTGAAAATATATATATTAGTACGAGTATCTGTTACTTATGAACTTTAATCATTCACTTATTTTAAAAAATTTTAATTTATCTAAAGAATTATTATAAAATTAATAATTTAATATAATTAAAAATTTTTCTTTAAAATAAATTTTATTAAAAATTATAATATATAAAATTAATTTAACATGTAGAAATTTAACCATATATATATATTTACCATTTAAGATTTTTAAGCCAAGCATAGATGGTTTTTTTCCATTTTTGCTAAAGTTTTTCTTTTTTTTTTTACTAAACATCTAAACATTAGATTTTCAAAGTTAATATATTTACTTCATAAAAAATGTTAATATATTTACAATTTCTCAATTTATCATTTAACTTTCTTTGATTTAATCCATTAATATAGAACTTCAAGTCATATTTTATATATTTTTTATCCATTGAGTAAGAGATAAGAGATAAGAAACGGAAATAATGAGATTCAAACTTTCATCTTACAAGTCTTTCTAAATAGCTAATTTTATTTGTTTTTTTATCCATTGAATAAGAGATAAAGGATAAGGGATGGAGATAATGAGATTCGAATTCTCATCTTATATATCTTTTTAAATAACTGATTCATTATCTATCTTTTACTTTGTTTTTTCCTATATATTTAAATTAAAATTTTGTCTATGGTTTTTTGTTTTTACTAAACAATTTTTAATATATTATTTATTCATTGTTTTGTATATTTAATTAAATTTTAAGTTTTATCTATAAAAATTTAACACAATCCGTATCTAAAACTATTACATCCAAATTACAACTATTGTATAATAATAATAATTAAAAAAGATTTAAAATGACAAATGACAATATTGAAATATAAAGAGTTAAAATGTCCATTTTCATTGGCTCAAAATATTTTATATATCCTTGCTTTTATATATATTATTGTTATAGATATAGATTATAAGTATATGTTATTTTCTTAATTTTATGCTTTAATAAAAAAAATGTACATCCTTTTTATCCACTTTGCTGTACAGTCCTCAAAGTTGGTAAATTTTGTGTATTTTGCATATAGGATGGCCCTGTTCATCAACTGTATATAAATTATTGCCACCTTATTGTTATTAGTTTTTTTATTAGTTAAAATCTAGACACAATGATTAAATTGGTCCAACATCTAAGTTATGTCGAAAATGTTGAAAATTATTTTTCAATTGATTTAAAGAATGAAGATTAAAAGCAATTTTTTTAATAAAAAATTTATGAATTATTGAATTAAATTTTAAATTAAAAAAATAATTATTTTGAAGTACACTAAATGGCTTCTTCTTTTTTTTTTTAATAAATTTCGTTTCACCTTTCCTCTTATTTGTGATTAGCCGCATTTTCTTTTATATATATTTGTAGTTAATTTTTTATTTTATTATTATTATTTTATTTTTACAAGATACACTAATTAATCAATCATAAATCAAAAGGCATTGATTATATGCTAATAGTCATTGTCATATTAACTATAAATAAAATATTAAAATTTTAATTTTAATAATTTTAAATAAAAATTATTACAAAATTAAAGATAATGGTAGGTGGAGCAGCCTCTCCGTAAAACCCGTAATTTTAGAACATTTTGTCTCCTCCCGTAATCATATGACGTCGAGCTTTTCAGTACATATTTTATTAAATTTTAAAAGCTAATCTTCCAAGCAACTTCCTCCTGCATTTGTTTTAACATTTTCCTTCTTTAATATATTATTTGGCACAATTCTTTCCTATTTGAATACATCCATTTTTTTTTTTTTTGTTTTCTATTTTATAATTAAAATTTAAATTCAATACCCTCAAACCTCAATCTTGAAGCTTGAAGTTAACTGCAACTAAAAACTCCTTGGTTCGGACTCTTCCATTCTAATTGTTACGTATTTCTTGTATTCATTGATAATTCATTGCAATGTCTTTTAAAATTTCTACAAAATATTAAAAATAAAAATTTGAAAAAAATTTCTTTGAAGAGTACAAGATGAAATTCATTAACAATGAGTTAAATCAACAAAATAGTTAATTTATAACAAATTTTAGAAAAATTAGGATCTTGAGCACGTGTTATGCGGGAGATGAAAGACGGTAACTTTTTTCTTGTAATTATTAACTTTGAAAAGAACAGTGGAATTAATTGATGAATTACCACTCTTCACGGAACTAACACTATTTCCACCATCTTTATCTTTAGGTAACACAAATGATTTCCGTTTAAACTCTTCACCCTAAATCTCAAACCTTCATACCTTTTCTTTATTTCAAATTCCTCGTTTTCCTTTTACTAAAACTTGTTTGGGAATTCAATTAACTCTTAATTAACCATTAATTATCTACTTAATTAATGATGTCCCTACAAAATAATAATCGAATTTAAAGCTTAATTTTAAATTTGAAATGTGCAACTTTTTTTTATTCTCATATTAAAAATTTTTTTACAAAAACAAAATATAAATACCCTTTACTTTAATTTCTTTGGACTTCAAAAACCCTTCTCTTTGAACCTTCAGCATCGGGCAAATCCTATGGTGGAGCGTGACAGACACGCTCCATGAAAGGAGAGGAAAAGAAGTCATCAAAAAGTATAGTAACCGTATAAACAATTGTACAATACTACAATCTGTAATGACTTTATACCGATAATCTCCGCCACTTTCACGTTTATAGTTTCTACCCTTATTTTATTTACACTAACACTACAAAACGAAAATTAAAATGTCAAAAAAAAAAAAAAAAAAATTTTATCTAACTGAACCTTACATGTGCATTAGTACTCCGTGAAAGAAACGTTCTGTCTATGCTCCGATGACGGTGACGGTAACGGCGATGGTTGCATTGACGACGGAGCTTTCAAACTCTGGAAGTATTCCCTTATATCTATTTGTCCTACAGTTACTTTCTCCGTCAAATCACCGTCGTCTCTAGACGGAATGAACGGCGGCCGTAACACATCCGTTAAGAGGTCCCACCTAACCCCTTTAAAGAACGCGTGCTCCTTGATCTCGCACGCGCCTGCGTGATATCCGAGTCTTTTTTTCGGATCCTTTCGTAATAACCTTCCGATCAAATCCGTTAAAGCGTTCCGTTGTCCCATGAACTCCGGCTCTTTGGCCAAAACGTTTCGAAACGTCTCCTTCCTATTCTTCCCTTTAAAAGGTGTCGTCCCGTAAAGCATCTCGTAGGTTAGAATTCCGAGAGCCCACCAATCGACGGCGAATTCATGTCCATCTCCACGTACGACTTCAGGTGACACGTATTCCTCGGTGCCCACGAAGGAGTTGGAACGTTCCCCGTTTGAGAAGCTGAGCTTTCGTCGACTCACTGGACTGACTCGAGCTGATTTCGCCTTCTTCAAAGCTTTGTTATATTTGTTATCAGGTACGACGGGTATCCATCGAGTAAAGTTTCGTCGATGTTTACGTTGAACCGGAATTTCAGGCAATGAATTTTGATCCTTTTCGTCGTAAGTTAAAATTTCTGACAATTGTTTCTTCTTTAAGTTGCGTGAAAGATCGAAATCCGTTAAAGTTGCGTGACCTGACTGTTGAATGAGGATGTTTTCAGGCTTGAGATCTCGGTAAACGATGCCCAATGAATGCAGGTGCTCGAGAGCGCAGAGGATCTCAGCCAGGTAAAACCGGATAACGGCAGGGGAGAAAACGTGATCGTTTTGACGGTAGCGGAGGACGTTGAGGTCGGAGCCAGGGCAGTAAGGGACAGCCCAGGCAAGAAACAAGGGGGTTTCGAGACGACCCAGAAGACGAGGGAGAAATGGGTGTTGAAGAGTAGGTTCGGGAGGGGAAAGCCTGGTTAAGACCCCAATTTCCCAACGAGCACGTCGGTCAGCGTCATGTTTGGATCTTTGGACAACTTTGAGGGCAAACGGGGAACGAGCAGTGGGGTCGATAGATGAGTCGTGGACGAGAAAGACAGTGCCCATGGCTCCTTTGCCTAGGATTTTGATGGCTTTGAGGTTGTCCAAATCTAACTCAGGTGGAAATGAGGGTGAAGATGAAGGATTCTCCATTTCAGAGGAACAAAGAAAGAGAAAAAGGAAGACAATGTTGGGGTGGGCAGATAGAAAGAGGAAGATAGTATTGATGGATGGGGTTTGGCATATATAATAGTGCGTTTTTGGTTTGTAGAAGTATTTCTTTTTGGTGGACGAGGGATTTGTGTTTTGGGTGGGTGTGAAACAGGGATTTCATTTGGCTCCTACGTGGAGTGGAATATGATTGAAACAGTGATTCGAATTAAGGCTCTCTTCGTTCGGCCTTTTTTTTCTAGGCAAATTAAATAAAACCCACAACTTTCATCTCAGAAAAAAAAAAAAAAAAAGCCATAGTTTTAAAACGTGCATTAACGTTGCTTTTGCATGTTTATGTGAGACTTCTACTTAAAATTATCATCGTCAAACTCACAGTTTTATTTATTTTTACTTTTATTTCTTATTAGATGAAAAGGCTCATCTTGTACCTTGACCACTTTTATTTTTTTTATAAACACATATTTATAAAATATATTATTATTTTATATATTAATATTATAATTTTCAATTTTGCAAAAGAATGGTATTAAATCATAGATAACAAATATCCTTAATAAATATTTTGGTTTATTTTTGAAATAACTTATATTTGATATATTATCTGTTCATAAATGTTATATTTAATCACATAACGATATTTTATAAAAATTAATTTTAAAATCTTAAAAAATAAAAAAATAGTCCTAAATATATTTAAAATTAATTTTTTATAATGTATTATCGTATAATTCATTAATTATATAAATTTTATTATATTAATAATATATCAAATATAATTTAAAAAAAAAATCGACCAAAGTATTCATAAGTGTCCTTTATGCAATTGTGCTTTGTGGTAGCCATGATTATTATAATTATATTATTTTCCTATCATTATTATGAGAGCACAATAATTTTACTCGAAAAAAAAAAATTGTTCCAATTGCCACCTAAATGCAAGGTCTTTTATGTGTAATGAGTTGGTTAAAGCCAATTGGCCCTTTTTCCGTTTCCTTTTATTTTTGTTACCAAATAGAGAACAAATTAGCAAAGAAAAAGCGGGCACACGTGTTTGGAGTAAAGAAAAGATGCAAAGAGCCAAACAAAAGACAAAAAAAGATTGGTTTTGTACGGGTTCCACATGGGGGCTTCCCCTAATCTAAGGGGAGAATATATGATCGTGCACCTTGATGATTTTAGGGTTTGTTCTTGGAATATTTTCACCTTCCAAATTCCTATATTTTTTAGCACAATATTCATGGTTTTTGGTAAATTTTGGGATTAATATATTATTTGATTCATTTAATTAATACATGATTCTTTTTTTGTTCAAAGATTAAGATTCAAAATTTCATTTAAATAAAAGATCGTCAAATCAATCTAGATGAATCATACCTTTTAAAATTCTTGCAATTGAGATTAGTGTCAACAAATTACTACATAAAAGACTCAAAACTAAAATTACTTATCTTAAAAATAGGTGAATTTATCAATTGAGCTAATGTTTTATTAATCATCATAAAATTAGTTGTTGAAGATAGTATCACTTAATCTAATTGGCCAAAAAATCTAATTAGTTTAAGTTTTTTTTTTTTTTGGAAGATACCATTTTAATTATTAAAGGTAGCATGCGTATTGCACTAAGTTAATTAAAATAATATGAATTGTTAAATGATCAACCAACTATATCAATGATAAGCTTAGAAGAGGTCACAAAATTTGAGGGAAATGTCTAATGTTGCAATTAGGGAACATTTCTTTATAGCCAAAATGTCATGATAATGGGTTTGATTACAAGTTTTATAATATTTAATTTGTACAACAATTGTCAAGTTTGCGACAACATTTAAAAAGCTTCCAAACATGGGAATTGTCGTCTTCACTCTCTCTATGGATGGGATAAGAAAAACTGGGGAAGAAGAAAAATATATAAGGGACAAATTAAATTCAATATTTCCATTATTATAATAATTAAAGTTTTCAATTGATTCTTTTAAGTTTTATTTATTTATTTATTTTTGGCAAATGATAAGCGAGCATAAACTCAATAACTTCTACTAGAAAATCTTTAAAACTTAAGTGCCTAAAGGGGTAATTTACAGTTAAAATTTTCAATGATGGAGAAAATATTTAAATTTGGATTAAAAGATTATCTCCAGAACTATTGAACAAAAAATTAATTACCCAATAATTTTTATTCTACTCTTTAATTATTTATTCATTTATTTTAAAGTCAACTAGGTTTTCTTGTCACGTGAATGTTTTTATCTATTTTTAAATAATAATTATAAATTAAACACGTAATTTTTACAAATAATTAAATTAACAAAGTGCATATTAACAAAAATTTTAATTAACATGTAAAGTATGTTCAAAATATGTCAAATTAACATAAAATTTATCATTTTTATTATTAAAGCAGAACTAAACTCTAAAACTAAATAAAAAATTAATATAAACTTTAACTCTTTTTGTTTCAGCTAATAAATTCATTAAATAAAATTTTTTGATGGGATTAATTAGAATCTTATTTATAATTGAATAAATTTTATTAATTTTTATAATAAAAATATTTTAAATTAAAATTTAGAAATATATAAATATAAAAATCTATTTAAATCAGTCAAAAGTTTTACCAACATTCATCCTGTATATATTGTTATTGAAATTAATTGTATTATTTATTATAAATTATAGACGCGGATATAGATTATAAATTAAAGATTAAGATCCATGATACAAAGGTCCGCTCCATTTAATTAATTTCGAGAAAATACAAATCCTATAAAAAGTCCTATTCAGTTTTCGCTTGTTCGGAAAAATAAAGTTGATGGATTGATTGATATAATGCTTACTTTAAGTGTTTGTAATTTATAAGAGAGTGAAACAAGCATGGATCAGACGTACCTGATCTTTAAATTGATCATTACTTAAAATGTTTGGTAACATGCATGCTACCAAAAATCTGAAAAGTAATGAACAAAAAAGAAAGCAATGAACAAATTTGGTTTGATTGGCAATTTTTAGCTCCTTATTTATCATTATTTGAAATGGCAAAAATTTAAGTGTATTTTTAAAACATAATTTGTTTCAAATTTTGGTTTACTTCTCAAATTAAAAGTTTGTTTTAAAGATTATTTATTTGAGTCTAAGTGCAACTTCAATTGTTGTTTCAAATATTATTTTCCTTGCAGTCAATATAATTGTGACAATATTTTAGTTTTGAGAAATGAAATTTTCTGATTTTCTAATGTGCTTTACTTGACTAGAGTTTTTTTTCTTTAAAAAGAAAACTATATTGAGCTCTAATATTTTATTTAAGAAGTCATTTTTTTGGAAAAATTGAAAGTGAAGAAAAATTCTCATAATTTGCAAATATTTTTTTCAAATTTTTTTTTGATTTTTATTACAAGTTTTTTGGCTTTAAAATATCTCCACAATAATTTTTTTAGATTGAATAAAAGAAAAAAAATTGAAACAAAGAAAAAATTAAAATTTTTAAGCTTTAAAAATACAAGTTTTGAATTTTTGAAGGAAGGGATCAATCTTCTTCTTTAGGGGATCGATCCCCTTATAAAGAAAATCATCTCTTAATGCTACAAGGATGAAGGGATTGATCCTCTAGCATTTGAAACACAAAATTTGACTTGGCACAAGTAAGAGATTATTATCCTTTCAAAAGGGATCGATTCTTTTTCAAACAAAGTGCCTTTAAAAGCCATAATACTCAAAAGGGTTGATTCCCCTTATCAAAGGACTGATCATATAGCCTTTACAAGGAATGAGATTTGAATTTTGGTTTAAAAGAATCGATCCCTTATATGAAGGGATTTATCACCTATTTCTTGACAACCACAACGACTACTTACAAAAGCAGTCTCAACTATAGTTTCTTATACCAACTCAACTTGAATGACTCCAAGTGAATTTCATCTATAAAGGGGCTTTTCTAACAACTCTGAAGTCAAGAGACAGCATTTGCAAGAACTTTGATCAAATCTTTCAAATATTTAAGAGTATTCAAGTATTTTGTAGTTTTAAATCTCTATTGCATCATAATTCTTCTAGTCAAACCTTATTTCATATTTATTTGTCTTTCATTATATCATATTGACAAATTAACACCCAACTTAAGTGGAGCCCTTGAGTAATTTGGTGAGAATTTGAGTAAAACCATTAAGGATTTAAATGAATTTGTGAGTCATCAAGATGGTAGGTGCCATTTTGAGAAAATTTATGAGTTTAGGTTAGAAACTCACTTAGTTCAATTGTGAGAGTACAAATGTTATATATAAACCTTGAAAGGTAATTGTAAGATTGAAGATTTAGTGGATTGAACTTTTACAAAGAGTAAGCTAAGGGAGAGAACATTAGTGCCTTGAGATAGAACTAAACCTTTATACATTTTTATATTTGAAGTTTCTATCCTTATGCTTAATTTAATTTCAAGTTCAATTTAACTGAAATTTCATATATATGCACTATATTGTTTTGAATTGTTTATCTACACTTGTTTAAATATCACTATTTATGCTTTTGATAGCATTTTTGTTACATATTTTAGCTTAGAGCAAAAATGGATGAAATTTGGATAACGATCTTAGTTGTAATCATATTGTACCTCTTTTATATATATATTTATATATATATATATATATATATCCAAAGATAGTAAGGATTCACTTATACTAGTATAAGTTTTACACATTTTTTTTTATAAATTTTTTAATCAAAATTAAAATCATAACACTTATATAAACTAGATTGATACCTGTACATTACCAAAGATCAAAATGTTTATTTTATCATTCTTGTTCATTGATTTTTTTTAGTTGCAAAATTTATCTAATTAAAAAATAAAAAAAAGGTAAAAACAAACAAATGGAGTTGACATGTAAATATCTTAATTGATCTTCTTTTCTCGCAAAATTTATCTAATAAAAAATAAAAACTAAACAAAAAGATGAAAGAAGTGAAAAAGGACAAAAATGAAATAAAAGGAAAAATAAAAAATGAAAAAAAGAAGCTCATAGAAGGGGTCATATGAATTTCTCATTGAATTTAAACATTAATTTATTAAATTAAGGTATCAAATAATAACTTTATTAATATAATACATACATATATAAATATAAAATTAAATTGTTAATAAAATATATACTTATATATATCTCGAAATGAGTTGGGATAGAGTACCTTAAACACATTTTTGATGCGATCTCATTTTTTTAAAAAACTCAACTCATTTTCAACTTG